TATTAATCTGTTTAGTATCATGCCTAGGATCTTGCTAATCATGTTTTAATAACGTTTTGATGTTTTGATGATGATGATGATTGTTGTGTCAACTATACATTGCTTGATTATTCATGATTGATTGTTATTGCTTGATCACACCCCTTCTTGCACGTTTAAAGGGAATTTGTACTTAAAATCACGCCTAATAAGATAATTTATAATTTGATTTAGGCTAATATGATTTTAACTCACGTGATCACCAATAATAGATTTGATTGTGCATTAATAATCAACCAACGTAGATTAAATAGTCTTAGGATTGACTTGATGTATGTATGTTGATCGGAAAGCGCGCATGAATATCTTAACAATTAAGTAGAGGTCGATTAAGGGCGGGTTCAATCTCTTTATTTTAGGTTGGATTCATACCATTATCCCCGAATATGCAGTCATGGTTCCGGACCACTATGGAGTTAGCGATCTCCCTGATCGTGAATGGGGTGTAACCTTCACACCTGTGAACGGTTTACAAGTTCCTAAAACTTGTTGGGGACTCTTTTATCTCTAGCTTCCTTCCCTTTGGATGCCACCATGCTTAAAGGCATGATCACAATGGGGCTCAAAAGTTAGGTTTGAAAAATTGCCTACAGTTTTTTGGCGACTCCACTGGGGAGGATTTCTAATTTTGATTCCTAAAATTTATTTTGGCAATTGATTTAGAATGAGTGGATGAGACTTGAAAGATTCTAGATATTCATTATGCGTAATTTTGATTAACATTGTGGCATAACCATAAAAAGGTCCACATTAGAAAGACCATCTGTAATGCGTTAAAAACATAGGATTTTTACATGTAGAAAAAGCTGGAAATATCTTTCACAACTAGAATTGAAAAGATACTACGAAAATCAGAAAAAACGTAGAACATAGAAAACTGTCGTGACGCGTTGGAACTGTTGCGAGATAGCAGAGTTTGTCGCCAAATGAAAACTTTATCGCGGCGCGATAGAGTTGTCGCTGTGCGACAACCTCTATTTTCTCGCGCCAAGTTCTCGCGACATTGCGCTAAGAGTCTGTCTTCTTCGTTTGACCGATTCTAGTACTGTCTCGACGATTCTACTTCCTGATTGAGTTTTTCCGACTTTTCTAAACCCATATGTGTTCTACATATGGTCTTAGCCCCTAAGAATTCCACTCCATCCACCCTAATTAACGCTCCCTGCAACAATGGGTGCATCCGAGTTTGTGAATGCACCAAACCATGGAAGCAAGTCTAACTTGCGGGGTCCCATCTACCGTGCCAACCCTTCCAAAGGTAAGGCTTCCGCACGATGCATCCGAACTCATAACCATTGACCCTCTTGGACACCATAATCCTTGCCTTTAGAGAACTAGACCCATGGTTAGGTTGCAAACTCATTGCATCATGTTGTGACTACTTGACTACTTGTGCATCTCTTACTTGTGCATTCTTACTTATGATTAAACTAACCTTTTGTGTTGCCTTATTTCTTGTAAATAAAGTCTTAACAAACTAACCAAGGACTAAAAAAGACTTTGCTTAACTAATTAGTTAATTAATTCGAACCCATAAAGTCTAAACATACTCGACCTAGTAGTCCATAGGCTTGAATCTTCGAAAGGATCACCGAAAAACAAAATAGATTGACGTTCCTTTATTGGTGCAAAAATTTGGTCTGTGCCGCAGAACGCCAGGTTCATCGCGCCGCGATGGAACCAAGGTTCCGCGACAGTTCCATTGCCACGCGATGGTTCGGTTTTTTCCTTTCCGAGTCTTAGTGTCGAGTCTAATTTCTATGATTAACCGATTTAATGAATAAACGAGGCCTTAACTTAGTTTTTGTTTGAGTCTAATCACATACTTAGTCCCATGGTCATCACAAGAGTCTTGAACATGTCACGTACACTCATGAGTCTTTGCACACACTTTGTACATGTCTTTTCACCATGACCATGTCTTATCTCCATGCATGAGTCTTCTTTCCGTCATTTGAGTTGAGGGTCCGTCATATTCTCGGATTTTTCCATATCATTCCACAAATAAATTCTTTCCCTTTACATCACATTCAATACATTACATACCTCACACTTTCCACATTCACATACTTTCCTCTTACATGCTTGAGTCAAGTAATTGACAATGAGTGTCTGTGATTCCCCTTTCCACAGCGTTTGGTCAAGGAAAGAAGGACTCTTAATCAAAGATAATACTTTCGTAAAAGTAATCCTTTTTTATAGACCGGTTCGAATAAAAAGAAAGATAAGAATGGTAGCAAGTCAAGAAGATTTTAAGAAACTTCAAGAAACTGTGAACGGACTTGCTGAAATGCTCAAGGGACTCACCACCCGAGTCGAAGACCCTAAGAGCACTCCCAGCAGTGATTGAAAAAGCCCTCACGAGTGAAAATTCAGGTGTAAAAAATAAAACCGAACACTACATCAGTGAGGAAAATAGCTCTCACGGTTGAGGAGAACCAAAAACGCACAAGAGTTGAGGAGAAATGAGATTGAACAGTAGCGTGGTGGGACCCACCAAAATCTGACGCAACCCATTATATTTGCTGAGAAAACGTCCAAAACGACGTGTTTTGTGCATTCCCAGGCCAAAACTACGTCGTTTTGTTGGTTGCTCAGCAAAAAAAAATTTGAATTGGCTGGCAATTGACGCGCTTTAAGTCAACCAATGGGCTTGCGACACGCGTCAATTGCTTCCACCAATCAGATTTTTTATCTTTTTCCCAACGGTTATATTCAATAAAACGGTAATATTGCCGTTAAAAATATATAATAAAAAAATTTCACCAACGGCCATAAAATTTTTTTCTCTATAAATAGACATGCATTTTGATATACTTTCAAAAACACAAAAAATCTCCTATATTCACTAATTTCCCAATCCTCACTTCTTCTTATTATTGTAATTATTAATTACGGTTTTCACAAAAAAAAAATTATTATTATTATAATTATAATTATAATTATTTTTATTATTATTATTATTATTATTATTATTATTTATTATTATTATTATTATTATTATTATTATAATTATCATTAATATTATTGTTGTTGTAGCTGTTTTTATTTTCTGAAAATATAATTTAGTTATTGTTCTTTTAGTAATTGTTGATTTTTTTACTAATTATTGTTTAAAGCTTTATTTATTTATTCAAAAAAAAACCTTTATTACTTTTCTACTTTATCGACTTATGGATCCTAACAACCCTAATTTTTCTAATCATTTCTCTGATTTGGGTGATGATTTTGTCACTAATCCTCGATTTCAGCTTTTCCTACAAAGGCTTGGAAACACTTCTTTGCAAAATTCAACACAACAAATACCTCATCAAACTCCTTTCCAAAACACTACCTATGAACCACATTCACCTCTTGTTTATCAAGGGACCGATTCTCAATTAGATGATGAAATGGAAGAAAATGTTCCAGACACTCCTCAATACTCTCCACCTCCTTCAAGAGTGTCTGTGAATCAAAACCAACCACTAACAAAAGGAAGTCGAATGTGGTCTATTGCGAAGGATGAAGCTCTAATTGGTTTGTATCTTCAATTCAGTGAGGATGCAATTGTTGGTACAAACCAAAAAGCAGCTGCGCTATGGCAAAAAATATCTACAACATATGATCAAGCGCAGGCTGAGAAACCCCACATCCTACCGCCAAGACCTTTGAGGAGTTTGGAAAGCCGTTGGAGAAGGATGGCAACTGATTTAATACAATGGAGTAGTTGTTGTGACGAAGCTGGTAGGGCAACTGGAAGTGGTTACAACGAAGCAGACCGAGTTAATAATGCAAGTAAGTTATTCTATATTTCCTCCAAGCCTACTCCACATAATTTTAATTGTCACCATGGTTGGGAAATGGTTAAAAATGACCCGAAGTGGAGGACAAAACTGAGATGGGCGTTGTCAAGAAAGGAAATATTAGCTTGCGGTGATGCTGTCGAAGATGACAGTAGTGGAAGTGAAAAGCGGTGTAGAACTGATGATGAAGATGTTGTTCACGTTACCGGTTTCACTTTTGGGGGTCTTGCTCGACCTGATGGCGTTAAAAAGGCAAAGTCCAAGCGTAATAAGGGAAAAGGAGTGGCTGTTGAAGTCTCAAACATTACTGAGCAAATGCAGCAGAATAATGCAACAAGGGAAATCGAGGCACAAATGCGGTTGAAGAAGTTGGATTTCGACATGGAAAGGGAAAGAAGGAAGCAAAAACAAGTAGAGCTTCACCAAAAACAAGTCGAAATTCAAGAAAGAAGGCTCAACTATGAAATGCTGCAAGATCTAATGGCAAAGGGACCGGACCTAACTCCTAATGAAGAGGCTTACAAGGAAGAACTACGTGCACTACTCTATGGTAGAAGGAACATGTAATTTAGATCAGCTTAATGTGTTTGCTACTGTTTTTATTTAATTAATGTTTAATGTAGTCCTTTTAATTTTAATTAATGTTAAGATGTACTCCTTTTTATTTACATTAATATGAAATGAATTATGTTTTTTATAACATTAATTATGCAGTAAATTATTTACTTTATGAAATTTATTTTTAATAATAATCACATGTACTGGTTAATGACAAATATACATCTCCCAATAAAATCTTCACAGCTTTATGTTGAAGAGTCATATCAACTGAACACAAGTAATGATAATGATATAGATTATTGAAGAGTCAAATCAACTATTCAAGTGTCATACATCACATGCATCAATAATTCAATTGCAATTCAGAGTGCAATGACACATCAATTTCATTGCAGAGATTTCATTGAAGTGTCATATGGACTATATATACATGCATGACACATCAATTTCATTGTAGAGATTGCAATGATACATGAATTTCAATTTAGAGTTACTCAGATGCTAAACCAGAGCAACTCACATGCATTGATAGTCACTTGGACTATATATACATGCAAGTGTTATTCAAAATGGAAAGAATCCCAAACAAACCAACTACCAAACCATAACCAAAACATGTCTTTCATTTCCTCCACCTCAAGCTCGAGTTCTTCTGATTTCTCAAATAACGTTGAATTTGATCGGTTAGTTGATGATTATGCTGCTAACCACCTACCTCATATTTTAATTCCCCAACACTCGTCACAAGAATCCCAGCTTAATAATGATATAGCAAATGTCCCGGAGCCTAAAAGGGATAGGGAAAGAGAAAAAGGGCATGTACAACTATATAACGATTATTTTGCGAGTAATGCAGTGTATAACGACAACCAATTCCGCTGTAGATTTTGTATGCGAAGATCTTTGTTCTGTCGCATTATGAATAAGGTGGTTGAAGGGGATCAATTCTTCCAACAACGTCGGAATGCAGCTGGAAAGCTTGGTTTATCACTGTTGCAGAAATGCACCGCTGCAATAAGAATGTTAGCGTATGGCGTAGCCCCCGATGTCGTGGATGAATATCTACGTATCAGCCAAACAATCTCACGGAATGCATTGCAACCTTTTTGTCAGGGGGTTATTTCACAATTTGAAAGTGAATATTACATAAACCTACAGATGAAGATTTAAGGAGAATCCTTCATCAAAATGAATTGCGTGGGTTTCCAAGCATGATTGGTAGTATAGACTGCATGCATTGGGAGTGGAAGAATTGTCCTACGGCTTGGAAAGCACAATATGCTGGTCGTAGCAAGACTGCAACCCTCATTCTTGAAGCCGTTGCTGATCAGGATTTATGGATTTGGCATGCGTTCTTTGGAATGCCTGGCTCATGTAATGATCTTAATTTCCTTTACCGTTCACCGGTGTTTGATGATGTTTTACAAGGTCGTGCACCACCAATAAATTTTTGGGTAAACGGACGTCAATATGAGTTGGCCTACTACTTGGCAGATGGGATTTATCCGAAATGGCCAACTTTTATACAAGGTATTACACATCCTCAAGTTCAAAAAGACAAGTTGTTTGCTGATCAACAAGTAACAGTTCGGAAAGACGTTGAACGGGCTTTCGGAGTTTTACAAGCTAGGTTTACTATACTACGACAACCTGCACTGGCCTTCGACGAAGATATTCTTTGTGACATTATGAAATCCTGTATAATAATGCACAACATGATCGTCGAGGATGAACGACACAACTACACACGGGCAGATGTTTTGAGACGATACTACGAAGAAGATCGACCACAACGTACAGCAGCACGGGCGGGACCGAGCACAAGTGCCACGGTGAATAACAACGAGCCATTTGAATTCAACATCGGGCGGCCACCCAACATTGATTTCAACGCGTATTTTCTGAGGAGGATTGACCTTCGTGATACAGAAATTCATTCGTCTCTCAAACAAGATTTAGTAGAACACATATGGCAGAACTTTCGTCATAATACGGCCGAATAAGCAAAGTTGTAGAATGTAATCGTATCGTTTTTAAATTTTAATACTCGTCTTCGTGTATTATTTTAGCTCAAACCGCTTTTATTAAGTTTGTAATCGTACTGTTATTTAATATACGATGTATTTGTATTGCCGTTTATGTGTTCATTTCAAAAATTTGCTTCTTATTATGTAATCGTTTAAGTTTAAGAAAACATCTTTCGTAGAATCTATAATTGCTGTAATTTTTTTTAATTATTATATTCTAATAAGAACGTTAATAAAAGTTATATTGAAAATGTTCTATTTATTAATTTTAACCGTCATTAAATAAATAAAAAAACAAAAAAAAATAAAAAATTACCAAAATAATTAATAAATTACTAAAATTTATTACATTACAATTAAAACGTAATTTAAAAAAAATATTACATATTTTTAATTGTATTGGAAAGTTAAATATGTAGTATAAACATTATTAAAAATAAAAGGATAAAAAAAAGGTGATGTGTATTGATGGTGGGGTATATTAAAAAGTGGAGGATAAAGTGATGAGGAGTTTTTTTTTAGAGCATTGGTGTAGTAAAAAAAACCTCTCATGAGAGGAATTGGATGGGAATAAAGAGAAAGTGGGTAGAGAGAGATTGAGGGGTTTGTTTTCTCCTCACTGCTGATAATGGTCTAACAAGCAAATACTAATTGACACCATCAAGCGTATTAAAGATAGCGTGAGTCAAATTTCCAATGATTACAAGTACCTTGGCATAAGCTCTAAGGGGATCTCAGTGGACAAGGAACTTCTTCCGCACAAGTTCTCTGTCAAACTTGCTTGTCAATGCCTGCACAGAGCTAGTCAAAAGAGTTAGAGCATCAACATCTAATTTACCTCCCTTCTTCTCACTATGTCGACCTCCTGGATGATAATTATCATTGGCTACCATCTTCTCAATTAGCTCTTTGGCTTCAGTTGGGTTCTTAGTCATGAGAGAACCCCCGGATGCAGCATCAATGTATATGCGGAACTCATGGGTCAAACCATTGTAGAATGTTTGGATCAACATCCACTCTGGGATACCGTGATGAGGGCATTGTCTCTGTAAGCGCTTGAATCTTATCCATGCCTCATATAAAGACTCATCATCAGATTGACAAAAGTTAGCTACCTCATTCCTTAACCTTGCAGTCTTCTCTTGCCCTAAAAATCTTACTAAGAAAGCTTTGGCAAGCTTATCCCATGTATCAAAGGAACCTATACCTTCGTCTCGTAACCATTCCTTTGCTCTATCCCGTAGTGAAAAAGGGAACAAACGAAGTCTGATAGCATCATCAATAACACCGTTGAGCTTTATGGTGTCACACTTCTCCAAGAAACTGTCTATGTGACTAACAGGGCATTCATGAGTTGTGCCTGCAAATGGGTCATTGGAGATGAACTGTATGAATTGAGGTTGTAATTCAAAGCTCTGGGCGGTAATAGGTGGTCTGACAATGCTGGATAGGATCCCGGTTGCGGTATCAGGAATGTCGTACTCCAATAAAGATTTGACTCTTTCGGTCCATTTTACTTGTATTTTGATATCTCCTTCTTCTACCTCTTCGTCTCCTTGCAGTAGCTTCGATTTCAGAGTCAAAAGGTGCTAAGCTGTCTAAACCTGAACATCGAGTTTGCATGCAACAAAGAACTAAAAAGAGGAGATCAAAAATACAAGGGGCAATAGCCGAAGCAACAAATCGAAAGCTTAGTAAAAACGAATCGCAAATAATCAGAAAGAAACCGTTAGTCCCCGGCAACGGCGCCAAAATTTGGTAGGCGTGTCGCGTACCTAACAAAAATAACCTAACAAGGCCACTACTATGTAGACGGGCAAGTAAGGATCGAATCCCAAGAGACTAAAGTTCACCTAATTAAATAGACTCAAATAATCACTAATCAAGTAACAATCAATGGTGAAATATTCTAAGAACTAATATATAAAGAACTCAATAAATCTAAAGAATGTGATAAATCAATGAACTAAAACATCCAAGATCAAGTATCACCACAATTACGATCGATGCAATTATCTATCTACCCCTAGCATACAAATCCAATTAACATGGGGAAAAGCAAACCCTAATCAATACCAAGGACCTCTCTCGAGTATCAATGGCTTCTCTAACCACAATCAAGCCTATTCTCATGGAATCATGCAAATTAGAGACATTAAACACTTTACTTCACTTCCCAATTATCAATTCAACTACTCTCGTGATGAATCTCAAACCCTAAATTGATCTACTCAAATCCGTTAAAACCCAACTCTAGTTGTGATTAAAACTATGGAATAATAACAATACTAATTATCTCTAATCTAGTACTGGCATAATCACAATCAAATTAGCATAAATAATCGCAATTGTCATTAGAGAATTTAAAGAATCAATTCATGCATCAATCACAATTGGGCTACCCTAGATCTTGGAATATAAAAACTACTCACACATATTGAAATAAGCAATAGTAAAAATAATCAAAGAAAACATAATTAAGAAATAAGGGATGAAAGGAAAATACCAAATCTTGAAAATAAATGGAGATTGCAAAAGTAGAACTTGAATCTTAAATTACAAAAGCAACGTAAAAGTTTTAGAGAAAACTAGGTCTAATAAGGAATGCTAGATCCTGAAATATAATAAAGTCTGGGGTATTTATACTCCCAACAAGAAGATAAGAAAACGTAGGAAAATTCAGCGCATAACCCTCCTAAGAGGCACGGACGTGCCTCACTTCGAGTAAGGTTCTTCTCATCTTCTGGACTCTAGGCACGGACGTGCCTATATTGGGCACGAACGTGCCTTATATGCAGATTCGAAGGCAACAGCAGAGACACGGACGTGCCTCTATGAGACACGGACGTGTCTCACTTCCAGAGAATTTCCCTCAGTTTCTGAGGCTCAGGCACGGATGTGCCTAAGCTGGGGCTCTCTTAAACATGGTCGTGGTTGACTCCAAAAAGGCCTAAGTGACTCGTTCTTCGACCAACGAGCTTCGTGAAGGTCCGTGGGCCTCGGTTTAGTCTCATGACTTCATAAAATCTCTAAATTAGCTTCGTTAATCCTGAAATACATCAAAAACAACGAAACTACCCACAAAAGCATCGAATCATCGAAAGTAAACCAAATCAAACCAAAATGAACTAAAATACTAAGCTAGACTAATAAGAACAACTAAAAAGAGGCTAACAATTATGCACAAAACACGGCTTATCAAAAATAAAAAATCACGCTGAGCTAAAGCTTGAGTGATTTTTACCAAAATTTCAAAAAGTTTAAAAAGCAATAAAAGTGTGCAAAGGGCAATTGTTCCAATGTCTTTGATATGAACACGTCTTGGATTGCGTCTCTTATCGAGTACTCGGTACCGTGCCTAAGAAACATGAATGTCAAGTGAGTGATAGACCGCATGATCAGGATTTCCCACACTTATCCAAAGAAAATACAAATTTCAAAAGCAAAAAAAAAAAGAAAAAAAAAGTTCAAAAGTGAGAAAACCTCAAGCATACAAATACCAAGATTCAAATGCAAGGTTACACACTTTGGGGGCTTATTTTGGGTCTTGAGCCTTTATCCCTTATTCTCCAAACCTTTAGCCTAACCCCATTACAAACCTTGAAAGACCTCCTTGAGGTATACACACACTTGTGCGAGGTTTGGCTAGAGCTACGTTCGGCCTGATTCCTAATGGATATGTAGGCAACCTCGCATTGGGGTGCGGCCGTAATAAAAATGCATTCACTCATATTCACATCATGATCATATCAAAGAATCTCCAATGCTCATCCTTATCCATTTAGAGCTAAACTTGGGGGCTTGATCCCTACTTCATTAGCCTACCCAGCCTAAGAGTCACCATCATTTGACTCTTCTCAAAATATTTTTCCACACCTTTAGCCTTTGCAGCCTAACCTTAGTGTCACTTTCACATACGTCACACCTACATAGCCAAATAATCCTTCCCTTAGGAACCCTTTGTCATGAAATCTTGATACAACTCTAAGCATGCCTTGTCATCTTAGATCACTCATTTTCATAATCATCATCGAATCATAAAGTATGAAGTACTTAGCCTCCGCGCCTAAGTTACCTAAATACTTTCATTATAGAGTCATCAACAGGGTTAGTCTAGGATGCTACAATCCTTGCACCATGAGATGCAACATCAACGCATAAACTTGATTAATCTCACTCAACATGCACCATCGCTTGCTTGATTCATCTTAAGGAAGTTCGAAAACTTCACCCTTTTGATTTTCACCTACACTTCAGTCTCTTTTCACGTCTTTATTTTTCGGGAGAAAGTCGGTACCCTCCATAAAAATGACGGAAAATTATTACTTTTCTGCATTTTTGAGTTGCACGAGCACAATCACAACACAATCACCATATCGAGTCGATTATACACATTGAGTCTCATCACATCGAGTTGAGTCATGCACATTGGGTTGTCATATCACGTTGAGTTGAGTTTGCACACATCAAGCCATAACCCATCGATTCAAGTTAAGTATATTGACTCATACAATGAGTCAAGAACACCAAGCCTTGAGTCAACCTTAAGCCAATCAACCACAATGAGTTGAGTACACCAAACCTTGGGTCAACCTCAAGAAGCTATAAACATGAGCAAAGTCCTATAGTCCAAAATATAGATGCAGGTACACTAAGTCCCTGGCGGACGAGTAACCATTACAAAAGATTTGAGGCGATTTGATTGGGCAAAAAGGCACAAGCAACAGCAACGAAGCCGAATGAGCAGAAAGAGTTTAAAAACTCTGACCTTGATTCCAGCGCAGCACGACAGAAACAACGCAGCACGATACATACTGACGCGGCGCGACAGCACTATCGTCGCGCGATGAAACTTGACATGGCACGTCGGACTTGAATTCTTGCAAATCAATTTGTTGGACGACAATTATCTACTCAACCCTCGTGATGAGCAATTGATTCTTTCTAAAATAGATGATTATGCATTTGAGCCTCTT